CTGCTAACAGAAAATTTAAAAGTTAGAGTCCACAAAACAACTGTGAGATATCATCTCACCCGAGTCAGAATAGCAAAATTTAACAGAACAGCAAACATCAAATGCTGGTGAGGTTGTAGAGAAAATGGAACACTTATTCACTGTTGGTGGGAGTGTAAAATGGTGCAACCACTATGGAAGCTGAATGGAGCTTTCTCAGAAAGTTGCAAATAGAGATACCATTTGACCCAGCAATTCCACTACTGGGAATTTACCTTAAAGAAACCATAACTGCCACCCAAGCAGATATATGCACACCCATATTTATTGCGGCTTTGTTTGCAATAACAAAGAACTGAAAACAACCCAGGTGCCCATCAACAAATGAATGGATAAAGAAGCTGTGGTATATTCACACTCTATAATACTATGCAGGATTGAAAATCAAGGAACTCATGAAACATTATGCAAAATGGATGAATCTGGAGGACATTATGCTGAGTGAAATATCTCAGTCACAAAAGGACAAATATTGCATAGGGCCACTGTTGTAAAATGGGACTGACATCAGGGTTGAGGGAAGACAGAAAAGTAGGGGAGGAATGATGTATGTTGCATTAAAACAGATGACGGAGAGACTGTTTGAAAGGGATATATGAATGGGTATTCTTGTCATTACAGAAGTCCAGAGTGAAGGCTGCATAGTGGAGTAGACTTGGGGGGAGGGATTGCATAACAAGGAAAGAGTTTTTCTTTTTCTTTTCAAGGAGAAGAGTGAATTGGGGAGAGGGGTTGAGTAGGGAGAAAAAGTGCAACAGTGAATGACTGGAAACCCTAAGTCTCTGTAAACTTTCATTAAAATTAATAAAAAAATTATAAAAACGTAGCAGTCCACTTGAAAGTGCCTCGGAAGAAAGGTCTGATAACCTACTTCTGAAAAATCAGCCATTGAAAACCTTATGGAACGCAGTCCTACTCTGACAGGTGAGGGATCATTATGACTTGGAGTCAACTTGATTACATTCTAAAGGTAAGGATTTAACTATGTTCCAGAAACTAGATTGGCCTTTTTATCTGTAAGTTTGTCCTACTATGGTGGCTCACATATTGCTATGATTCTGGGAACTATGCCACTGGTATCTTAAAAAATAGCAGTGTCAATCCTGGTAGAAAAAGTTCAGTGGAACTTTCAAACTAACATAGAATAGAGGAAAAGGCCTATTGATCTACTTTTAAATATGTTGTTGTTGTTAGTGCTGTCGAGTCGCAGGCGACTCATAGCGACCCTATGAAGAAGAGTCCTTGACGCTTGGGTGCCTTTCATCCTCTCTCCAAGTTCATAGGGTTTCAGGAGGCAAGCTATTATGGAAGTGGACGCCACTCCTCCTCTCACGCCATTTCAATCCGGGAGCTCCACCCCACTCTCAGTCCGTATTGGGTAACCAGCCATTAACGCATTTGACACATCCGTGTCACAGTGTTCAGCCTCACAGCAACCACAAGTGACCACAGGATGGCAACTTGTACACCAGGGCTATATGACCTAGAGGGATGTCTGAACAAAAACAAAGACTGGCCTGAGGGCTGCGAACTAAAAGTCACCCACCTTTGTCTTGGTCACATCGTTTTCTCTTCACTGGGCCAGCTGATCTCTCTCTCTCTCTTTTTCTCTCTGTTGATGTTATTGTTGTTAAGTGCCGTCGAGTCCTCGAGTCGCAGGCGGCTCATAGCAACCCTATGAAAGAGAGTCCTTGATGCTTGGGTGCCTTTCATCCTCTCTCCAAGTTCATAGGGTTTCCGGAGGCAAGCTATTATGGAAGTGGACGCCACTCCTCCTTCCACACTTGTTCAATCGGGGAGCTCCACCCCACTCTCTTTTAAATATAGTCAATGAAAATCCCACAGACCACAAGAGGTTGTTGTTTGATATTCCACACCCTCACCAAAACCCCACTGCTTCCCAATTGGTTCTGATTCATAGCAACTCTCCTTTGAATTTCCAATTATGACAGAAGATTGTCCCTCTTTCTCCTGAAGAGAGGCTAGTGGGTTCGAACCACTGACCTTTTAGCAAACGGATATGTTATTATGCATTAAGCCACCAGACTTACCCTTTCTCCATACCTTTCAATCTATATGCAGAACAGATCATTTGGGAGGCTGGATCATTTGGGAAGAAGAATGTGGCATCAGGATTGGGGGAAAACTCATCTGATTTATGCAAATGATACAACTTTACTTGCTAAAACTTAGGAAGATTGAAAAGTTTGCTGCAGAATATCAAAGACTAGAACCTTAAAAATGGATTGTGTCTCAACATCAAGAAAACAAAGATCTTCTCCACAGGACCAATGGTAGGTGGAGATGATAGCTGGAGAAAAGATTGATATTGTTAATGATATGATCAGTCAGGAAATAAAAAAAATGAGTTGCGGGAAAATCTGTAGTCAAGGATCTTTTCAGAGAGCTAAAGAGCATTGATGCCAATATAGAGAATAAAGTGTGCCTGATTCAGGCCATAGTCTTTTCAATTGCTTGTTATGCATCTGAGAGCAGAACAGTGAATAATGGTGACAGAAGAATCTATGTCTTGGAGAAGACTATTGAATACACCATGGTCATGCCAAGAGAACAGGTCTGTCCTAGAGAGGGTGAAACCAGTTTGCTCATTAGAGGCAAGAATTTTTTAAAACAAAATTTTTTATTTTAATTGTCATTTTAACAACAGTTTACAGGAAAGTTAGATTTTCATTCATTCATTGTTGTATATTTTACCCCCTCTCCCTTCCTCCCCCCTCCCCAGGCTGAATTTTTTTTCACTAGATTATTTACAAAATTCTAATACAAATTTGAACAAATTCTTTCAATTTCCCTTACCCCCACCAATCAAACTGTACAATTCAATGATTAATCCCCTCTTTCCCCTGTACATCCACATCCCTCTGCTTCCAGCCTCTTCCACCCATCCTGGATCCTTATATTCCTACAATAATGGTCTTATACAATATTTATCCTTGTGGGACTGAGTTCACTCAGCATAATGCTCTCCAGTCCCTCCCAAATTAGGTAATAATTTACAAAGTTATTGTTCCTGCATGTTGCATAGTATTCCATTGTGTGAATGTACCATTATTTCTCAATCCATTCGTTTGTGGTTGGACATTTGGGCTGTTTCCATGTTCTTGCTATAGTGAATAATGCTGCTATGGACATCGGTGTACAAATCTCAGTTTGTGCCTCAGTTCTCATATTCTCAGGGTATATTCTAAGTAGTGGAATAGCTGGGACATACGGAATTTCTATGTTCAGCTTTTTGAGGAAGCACCAAACTTTTTTCCATAATGGTTGCACCATTTTACATTCACACCAACAATGTATGAGATTTCCTTTCTTGCCACATCCTCTCCAACATCTATTATTTGCTGCCATGTTAAACTTTGGAGGCAAGAATGTTTAATCTCTGTCTCACGTACTTTGGGCATGTTGCTAGGAGGGACCAGTCCTTGGAGAAGGACAGCATGCTTGGGAGAGCATAGAGTCATTGCAGAAGACCCTGGATGAGATGGATTGATACAGTGACTGTGACAATGGGGTCAAGGTGTGTCAGAAATAATGGGGTTAGTGCAAGATAGGGTCACTGTAGGTCATTGTCAACTCATCACATAAGAACAACAAACAGCCACAAGGGGTCGTTTAAAATCTGATATGTTATTGTTACAACTCATAGTTGACTCTCTAGTGGATTTTCAGAGGCTGTAAGGGGGGAAATTGACCATCTTTATTTCCTGAAGTAGCTGATGGATTTGAACTGTGTGCCTTTGGGTTGGCAGCCCAACTTCTTATACCATCAAGTTTTGTTTTTTATAAATCTGACATAATGCTAGAAAATTGGTTCCCCAGGTTGGAAAGCACTCAAAATATACAGTGACTACAATGATCTCAAACCTACCAACCACCATGAATTCAGAACAGGGCCAAGCAACATTTTAGCTACTTACACATGAGGTCTCTGTGAATTGGAAATGACTCAAGACAGCCAGCAATCACAACACCTGAATGTGAGGCTGTTAGGAGAGAGACTGTGTTTGGGATATTATTGTCAGATTGAATTCCCAGGCTGATCTCTGCATGTCTTGGCCTGTGACAAGTTTACAGATGTGACACTCGTTTTTCCTTCCTAAAAAAAATTTTTTTTTAGATATTTACCCTTCAGCTCAAGCTTCACTAACCTATAAATAGAATTCATTTAACTTCTAAGTGAGACTGCAATTGTTTCTCCCAGAAAAACCTGGGAATCCAAATCCCTGCAATTGAAAGTGTAAAATTAGCTCCTTGTGCAGCTTGACCTCCGTGATTTTTCTGACGCATTTGGCCTGCAGTGTGCCCTTTCCAAGACCTCCCATATCTTCTCCACAGCTGGAGATGCCCAAAACTGCATGCAGCTCTTCCTGTGGGGGTTGCCTTTCAGTCTTGAGGCTCGGTGGTAAGGTTTATGATCTGAAAGGATCGCACATTTTCACCACTCACCTTCACAGTGTTTTTTAAATTATAGGAGTAAAATGAATGTCTAATACTTGATGTAAGAGGGTATTTTTCACTCTCCCTTTTCTTTTAAAAAATGATTTTGTAACGGTGGCCTCTCAAGAAACAATGTAATTGGCCAGCCTGGGGTGCATTTGATGTCCTCCCAGATAACGTCATTCGCTATTCATACGAGAGGAAAGGCAGGGTACCCCCCTAGGGAGAATGACCACACTTGTTTCAAGTTGGGAAAGAGCCTGTGATCTTTTTCCTGAATATGGGGGAAAGCAAACACACAATGTTCATTTCCTAAACACTGGATGTGCTGTGCGACTGCAGGTTACTTTCCACGATGTCACATCCTTCTGGATGAAGACAGCAAGGGCCAGGACAGGAAACTGCAAATTCACAGAATGAGACAAGCCTTTCCCAGGGCTGCCATTGGTTCTCCAGAACTATAAAGCACACTCATCCAGAAACAGCCTCAGATTTTCCTTTCCTGGAGGCAGGCAAGTGGATGGTAAGTGGGGAACCTGAAATGAAACCATGGGGGAAAAATAGCCATTGAATCCTGTAACAGTGGGGTTGTATCTTTGGTCCGTTAGTTTGATTGACTTCTCATTTTGCTGAGCGGTGTCTTTACCTGGCAATGTAGCACTGACAGATTGGATTATAGAGACAGGAAAGTAAAATGAGTCCAAGGAAGGAGGAAACCTGGATTCTAGAGTCAAGTGCACCTAGCGTGTGCTGTGTGCTGTTTCCTCATCTTCTAGATGAGAATGTTAATCCCTGCCCTGATCCATCACAGGGCTATAGAAATAATAATAATAAAATATTTATTAAAGCATTTTTGGAAAGTAGAAATGACTATCTTATACACAAGGCATTAGTACTGAAAAGTTCTAAGACTTCTTTGACAATTATAAGCTGTTAATTTAAGAAGTTAATACTGAAGAGGACAGTTGAGTATGAAAGTGGAAATCTTTGGTCTGTAGGAAGGATGGGCTTTGACATCATAACATACAGACCTCCTGTTGCCAGTCATCAATTCAACTTGATACTCAGTGCTCACTGAGGATTCTCTGAGGTAGCACTCAGTGAACTGTTGAACAAACGTTTATATTACTTAATTTTACTAGTTACTAATTACTCTTCTTTTTAAAATTTTTTTATTAATTTTTTAAAATTCATTTTAATGAGAGTTTAGAGGCTTAGGGTTTCCAGTCATTCATTGTTGCACTTTTCTCCCTGGTCACCCCCTCCCTCCCATAATTTCTCTTCTTTTTTTAAGCTTACTAACAAACAGTGAGGATAATGTAATACAATTTAATTTTATGATTATTAAAAAGTGAGATTTCATGAGAAAATCTGATGAGTACTGGTGGTCTATTAAAGGAATACATTACATAGTCATATTTCAGTCTTGATTCAGAGATGACATTTTGAAAGAGTGACAAGCAAAAAAGTTGTTTCAGGCAAGCAGCAGATGTAGATTAATTTCTTATATTTCATAGACTATTTTTAAAATAAGTTTATTTTTTATGCAGGTTCCCCCACCCCTTTCCTTCATTGACATTATGTTTCAAACAAACAATATGATTTTTGAGGTTTTGGTGACTTGTCTTTCAGAGAAAGACCTGCTGAAGGATCCAAATCCTCGTATAATGAAAGGGCCTTGTAAACTATTCTGTTCAAACACAGCAAAGTCCTCAGTATTGGAGCAGCATCCAATGCTCCATCCTTTCCTCACTGAACTTAAATCCTATTTAACAGTTACACGAGTTCCCTTGGCAGAAGAGCAGAAGGTTGCATTATTCTGTTTGCATGTGCAGATGTAAGGGCCTTGAGTGAGAACTTGGGTGGCTTGGCCATGATTACTAACCTGGTCTTTGAGAACTTGACACTGGACTCACTGGAAACAGTAAGTGTGTCGCAGCAGCTGTTGTGTTTCATCTTTGAGGGCTCTCTGTCTGCATAGGGGAACTGTGGCCGACAGCAGCCGCACTAACTGTGCGTCCGTATCCCCGCAGGGCATGGACAAGCCGGCGGCCTGGGAGCCGCAGAGCGTGGACTCGCTGCGCCGCTTCCTGGGGCTGCTGCTCGACCGCCGCGGCCGCCTGCACGGCCAGGTGCTGCGCCTGCGCGAGGTGGCCCGGCGCCTCGAGCGCCTCCGCCGGCGCTCCCTAGCGGCCAACGTGGCGGGCAGCTCGCTGAGAGCCGCGGGCGCCGTCACCGCCATCGTGGGCCTCTCGCTCAGCCCCGTCACCCTGGGCGCCTCGCTTCTGGCGTCGGCCGTGGGGTTGGGGGTGGCCACCGCCGGAGGGGCCGTCACCATCACTTCCGACCTCTCGCTCGTCTTCTGCAACTCCCGGGAGCTGCGCAGGGTGCAGGAGATCGCGGCCAGCTGCCAGGACCAGATGCGCGAGCTCCTGAGCTGCCTGGAGTTCTTCTGCCGCTGGCAGGGCCGTGGGGACAGCCAGCTGCTGCAGTGTGGGAGGAACGCCTCCATAGCGCTGTACAACTCAGTCTATTTCATCGTCTTCTTCGGCTCCCGTGGCTTCCTCATCCCCCGGCGGGCCGAGGGGGCCACCAGAGTTAGCCAGGCCGTGCTGAAGGCCAAGATTCAGAAACTGGCCGAGAGCCTGGAGTCCTGCACCGGGGCTCTGGACGAGCTCAGCGAGCAGCTGGAGTCCAGGGTACAGCTCCGCACAAAGGCCAGCCGTGGCCACGACCTCAAGATCCCTGCTGACCAGCCTGCAAGACTGTTTTTCTGAGAACATCCTTTTCTCCTCATGACTAAGGCCAGAAACCATCCCCATGGGATGCTCCAAATTTATAGCCTCTCAGAAAAACACCAAATTGGGTCAGGAGCTGAAAGCAGAGGATGAGAAAACACTGTTTTTTAACTGGATGAGTCCTCACAGTTCTTTTCTCATCACTCTGACATCCTGAGTGGAGTGGAGTGGAGTGCTGGTGATTTGTACTTGTATGTCCTAGTGGGATTTGTGAACTGAAAACAGTTTTTCCTTAGTCAGAATGTTCCAGTCCTCACACGGCTAAATCAGGTAGCTGATCTCTCCAGTTTTAAAGTTGAGAGGTCTGGAGGGTAGAAGGACATAGCCACACGCTTAATGGTCTCCGAGAGCCAGTAGATTTGCACCTCCTTAAAATTCCTGTGACAGATTAGCCTCACTTCCAGAATTTCCGAGTACAAAGCACCCCAGAATCAAACACAAGTCAGATGCTCCACTGAACTTTGTAGCTGGATTCAAGGCAGTGACAGGGCGCCTGAGCTGACACCCCTTCCTTTCACTTCTCAGTTTACCCACCCACAGAAGCAGCCCGAGTATCCAGTGAACCTTTCCTGGGTGGCTCTCCAGAAAGCCCAGTCTCCAGAGGCACCCTGCTCCCTTGCATGAAAAAACTAAGGTCAAAGAAGATGGAATGACTGAAAATTTTATATCAGAATTCAAACCACTGTCATCTGAATTGATAAGTAAACGACTCCATTCTTCATTGGAGTGGCTGATTCGTACCGCTAACATTTGAGTTAGCAGCACTAACATCAGTGAAGTGAAAAAAACAGTGGTTTTTAAGCTAGTCCTGGGTTTTGGTATAGGCTTTGACACCTATGGTATGATTGTAATCTCTGAGACTTGGTGTTCTGCCTTTGTGAGACAGAGATGATGGAACATCACCTTGTGTCTGGCATATAAACTGTGCCTGGACATTAGCCTTATGAGGACTTGTTAGAAAGACAGGGAACTCTTGTGGCTTTGTGGGTAGAAAGTTGCACTGCTAAATCAAAGATGTCACCCCCTGGTGGTTTAAATCCACTAGCCGCTCTGCAGGAAGAAGAGTGACAGTCTCCCTCCATGCAATTTACAGTCTCTGAAAACCTGCTAGAGTGTCAGTTATGCTTGCATTGCTAGCAAGTGATTCCCTTCTCAGTGGCAAGGACTTTAAATGACTAAATTCTTGTCCTCTTCTCACTGTTTATAAAACTTTAAGGGTGGGGCCAGCAACCCCGGTTCAAACAAACTCTCCAGATGATCACACCAAGATCTGGGAACCAGTGTCCCAGAAGCAAAAGCAAAAGAGAGGAACAGGGGAAGAGAGAGAGGGAGGACAGGAGGGCAGGGAGAGAGAGAGAGAATGAGTATGTATGTGTTAGAGTATCAGTGTATCTTGAGGCCATTTCCCCATCGTCTTAGCTAAGGGAAGTAACATAATAAGCCCTTTAGAGGGCAGTATTGCCACTTGTTGTGGAAATTGGTACAAAAAGGAATGTGAATTTAGGGGCCTGACCTTTATTATTTTTTCTGAAAACCATCACTTTATGTCTTTTTAACTTATTGTGAGCTTATTATTTAATTATTGTATATTATTTGCATTTAGTTTTATTTAAGCACTGTATTTAGAAGATAATAGGAATAACAAGTTTTTGAATGGGAGGCTAGTGAGACTTTCTTCAAGTGATGAGACTGAGTTTGACATTCTAAGGCAGAGCATCAGCTGGAAATAGCATTGTTTGCCTCAAACAAATCTGTCAATCCAGAGGCTTTTTTGTGTGTTTTTGTTTTAAATGATCCTTTGAATTAAGTGTGGGGAATTCTAAACAGAGAGACTAGAAGTTGAGCTTAAGTTTGTAAATGGAGGCTTGAATTGAGGAATATGTAAATGAGAAAGCATATTTATTCTGAAGGTACTCTATCCCAGAAAACATTTGACCTGGAAGGAGAACCTACTTAGTACCAAGAAAACCCCACAACAATAACTAGAGGTTTGTAAAGGAAGTGTGATAATATGTTAGAGTTCTACTTTGAAGTCTGTGTGAACTGAGCTGTGTGAGCTATCTCTAAGAAAATATTTATATTCTTTTCAATTTTCATCCCTATAACTGTAATATTGGAGGGAAACGTGTTGACAATCTTTGGAATCAGACATAAAATCTTGGCTGTATTATTTAATTATTTAATACACTATACATTTGCTGACTTCCCTCTATGCTCCTGATGATGGCATTGTGTCTGAGAGAGTATAATTTCATTGCAGAGAAGAGGAGTTGGTGATTCTATTTTGTGTTCTGGTTTATTTTTACATTTAAATTGGTTTGTTTTTAAACTGATGTCCTTTCCTAGACTACCTTGCTCAGATGCTAGAATTTTACATCATCATAATATATTCATGTTATCATTTGTTATGTCATTAAGGTACAGCCTAACTTCATCTTTCTTTAATGTCTAGATTTGATTTGTGTTCTTCCAATGCCTAAGCTATTCCTTAGAAAGAAACTGGGAAATTTTGCAAGTAGTTGCAAAACATTTTCGTCATTGACAACTTGATGGCATATAACAATAGGGTATTTAGAATGTATCCAAATCCTTACTTCTGGAAATAATAATTTCATTGGCCCAGTTAAAATCTGTAGAAACATGTCTACTTTGGAATGATACTTGCACATAACGGGAGTTCAATGAGTGCATTTGAATAATTCAATCACTGAGTTGTGTTATAACTAATTTGTTAATGATGGAAGGTCATCCATTCTCTTTTGTGCCTGTTATAAAAAAGATTAGACTTTGCCAAGACTTAGTGAAATTCTGTTGAATTGATTCTAGAGACAAATGCATACTTATTCTTTTGTGGGAATGTGCAAAAGGCTTTGCTTTAAAGCCTTCAATCTATAAACAAACTGTTTGAAAATAGTATGTTGTAGAGGGAACAAGGGAGAGGCATATTTAGATTACAAATGAAAGTACAAAATGGCACAATTTGAAAAATAAATGTGCTATATATTTTAATGGCTATCTGTTAATTTCTTGGGTTTGTAATCATTTGGACTTTTTTTCACAATAAAGGGAATTAATTTGGTTCTGCATTTCAAGGATTCAATAAAACTATACTTCTTTAGAAATATATCCTTTGCAAACATTTTGATCCTAATTTCTTTTCTGAAAATATTATACACATTTAAAAAATTATACACATTTTTCCCCTTCACATTCCATTCACAACTCAATTTCAGATGGTTTTGTGTAATATAGATCCTAAATTCTTTGAAGCACTTGCCCTAAGGCACCTGTCATTACAAAATGCTAAATGTCAATATCAAAAGTGTTTGCTGAGAAAAAGGACAGAGAAGTGCTGTAGAAGCCACTAGATCAGATATGTCAAACAATCAGTCAACTTGATAGATTTATCATTCTACCTTGGTGTGAAAAGTAAGTAGAGGGAATTAACATATTGAGATAAGGACATTACAGAGCAGAAGGAAATGGAGATTAAATGTTAATATTGTTGTGAAGACTATACTAAAACTGTTGTTGTGTATGAGTCAGACCGACCCATAGCTGACCCTCCAGTGTACTTAGAGAAGCAGTGAATCTCACAGGAGGAGATTGTTCCACACTGCAGACATAAAACAGTTTTTCCTCATACTAGCAAACTTAGTCCTTCTCTTCTGAAATAAATTGCCTACTCTACCAAAATTTTAGATCTGCTTGTTACTAGTTACCTAATCTCAGGTTTGCTTGGGTATGAATTGGAAACTTTTTTTAAAAGGGCAGGTGTTTGGTTATTTTCACCTACAACATTAAATTTCAAAGGATAGAAGTCAATTCTGTAAAAGCAGTCAGCACACAAATTTGCTTTTCTGGGAGTCAGAGTTCCTGCAAGCAGCCTCAAAACTGTCAACATACTTAAAATCTGGGAATTACAGGCAGTAATTTAAGATCTACAAAGCTTCTAGTTATGAGGAACCACTCCTACAACTATAGGACTGGGATTTATTTGTTGTTTGTTTTTATACATTTTATCATTAATAGTATGTTCACTATACAATGTTACAGAACATAATTTGCAGATGTTTTAATTCTCAAATATTCTTGGTTTGTAAAGATACTGATAATAAAAGGCAATGACAATGAAAACGTCTTAAAAAATAGGGTGTTCGATTTACATCAGAACCAACTTATGTCAAAGCTGTCAAAACAGAAGCCCAGACCTGAATGTAGAGAGTTCTTAGAATGAAACTCAGTCATAAGTCGAGAACTACTTCTAGTTATTAACAATAAACTTAGAATCAACCAAATTAACCTTCATAAAACTCAAAGACTAGAGGAGCAAAAAGGGGAGTAAGTATTTCTATTAGGATGGCAACCTTGCCCAGAGTATCCAGTGCACTTTGGCTTGCAAGTTGTGGATCACAACCAAGCAAAGCAAGCTGAGAAGTATAGGCTTTTCAGTGGTGAACACTGCTGCTCTCAATATATCTAGGCTTCTGTGTGTAAAGAAGAAAGGGAGGTGGACATTACGTAGGGGGTCCCAGCTGTCCAGTGACTGAAGCTGGCCAGTCAGGAACTGCTGCTTGGTAGGTGTTCTTAGCCCCAAGTGCCAGCCTCTGAGGCTCCACCTTGGAAACAATCCTGGGTCCGGATATAACCTTACTGACAACTTCTGCAGCAGTGGCAAAAAAAAAAAGCAGGGCAGAATCCTGACTGTTTGCAGAGGCCAGTTCCAAATTGGGATCCTATCTTTGCTGAAACACACGGCATTCCTGTCGTGACAAACGTTCTTTCAGTTCATTGCAATAAATCTCTTGTTGAGTTGACAGCACATTGGGATGTTACTTTTTGCTCCTGGCAAACTTCTAAGAGAGAAAACAAACTCTGCTGTGGTCTGGAGTTGGACAAACAGTGAGTCCTAGGATCTGGCAATAATCCCTTAGCAACCAGGAAGTTGTTAGGAGAAGAGAAATTGTGCTGATGAAGTG